AATGATAATAGCTTTGAGTTAAATCTCTTAGAAAGAAGACAGATAAATGGGGGTAATCTACAATTTTCCACCTACAAATGTAATATTCAATTCAAGCAAGGAGTGTCAGTGAATAGTCCCATCACTGATGAAATATTTTGAGGGAGAGGGAATTCTCACAGTATTAGCATGTCACCCTTCAGATTATATTTTAATTAACCAGGAAATAAGTGTATTTCTGCTGAACACACTGCCAAACCAGTTCTAGAACTAAGCATCACCAGTAACAAGACAAACTGCCATTAAGGGTGTTGCAATTAGCATGTCATAGCATGCCTATCACTGYTGAAAATATTTAACTTGAATCTAATCAAGAGGAAATATTATAAAATACAAGGCATCTATTGTACAAAGTAAGGTAGTTATATATGTAGTACATRTGTATATATTATTTACATGTGAATATGAATTATTTGTATAAATATGTAATTTAGTTTAAACATCTTCACAAATTAAACAAMTCTAGTTTAAATATCTCAACTGATTTTTACTTCCAATTTCATAATTAGGCAGCCCTCAAAACCAGACTTTTGAATTATAAAATGTGGTCACTTTTTTTTTTTAACAGAATTCAGAAGTGATATGCAGAGACAACTTGATTGTGTAAAAATCAGTGTTTTGACTTGTTTTAATTATCTAGATGCCTGTGATTGACAGAAGCTTAGCTGCTGGGATTTGACTAAGATTTAGCTATTGGTTATAAGAGTATACTCTTAAATTAAGCTCTATTTTAATTTTCATACTGTTAGGTTTCTTTATCAGAAAACAAATAAACAAACATACAAAATAAAAAGATACTTCCAGTTCTAATATTAATTTAAATTAACAGTATTATGTGTATAAATATGTGTAAGTACATATAATACGTATAACATTTGTATGCATGTATTATATTTACAATATACATATTACATGCATGCATATATGTTATACACATTATTGCCCATTTGAGATAGATAAATATAGAAAGTTAAAAACTATATAATTAGTTATTTAATTAATTAAAATTTATATGAATATTAGTTGTAAAATTCTTCAAAATTGTCTTTCATGTTGAGAGGTTTTTAATATAAATTTGAGGATAATTGGGGTTGATCCACATCTCTCTTGAATTTATGCCTGCATCAATACTTACATTATTTTGAAAAAATTATGTTTTTCATTAGTTCCTTATAGTTAGCTATACATAATAGTGGGATTCCTTTTGACACATTCACAAATTCATACAGTATAACTTGCTGCATTTCAGTGCATAGTTCTATCCCTTTTTCCGTTCCTCTTCCCAAATCCCTTCCTTTACTGTATTGATCTTTCTTCTATTAATTGATATTTTTAAATTTGTAAGGAAAAATAATAAGGAGACACACAGACAAGATGCATAGGCAGGAGAGATGGCAGAATGGCAGAGTGGCCAAGCTGCCAGCTTTATTTATATCAATAGGTTACTTTAGGTCATTGGCATTATTAGTACATATTGTAAATTATATTACTAGGAAGGTTACAGATTTAGCAACATTATGCAGCTTATTCCTCTGTTACATACTAAGTTGCAATGTGAAATTGTAGGAGATTTGTGTAGCTCTCAAGAAAGTCCATTGTATAAAGTTACTATTAGGAGGACAGGCTTAAGTTCAGTGAAACATTGTGGTTGTCTAACAAGAGAGTTCCTTTATTCCCAAGAACTTGAGGTCAAGGTCAAGGCTGATAAGACTAGTGGCACTGCACCAGAGCTAGACATAGCACATGAATTAGTTATCTTACTAGTTCCTAGGAAAAACCACAGGGCATTCTAGGGGTGGGAACAGAGTGCCCATTACCCAACCCCTGGGGGGTTTGCTCACCAGAGGAACACTTCTCTGTGTCAAATCCCTTCATAAATTGATGCATTATGGTTATATGTAAAAGTAGAATTCATTGTGATTAATTCATACATGCACATAGCAAAGTTGGTCAATTTCATTCCACATTTCCTTTTTCTTATCCTCCCTCATCACTCTCCCTTGATCTCCTTCCTGTACCGCACAGTTCTTCCTTCTATTTTCATGAGGTCTTCCCTTTAAAAAAAATTCATACTTTTCTCTACCTTCCTTATATGAGATAAAACTGTTGACCCTTGATTTCCTACTCTGGCTTATTTCACTTGGCATAATTTTGTTCAGGTTCATCAATTTATCAGCAAATGGCATAATATCATTCTTCTTAATGGCTGAATAAGACTTCATTGTTTGTATATACAATATTTTATTTACCCAGTCATCTATTGAGGGACTGGTTTCATAATTTGGCTATTGTGAATTGTGCTGCTATAAACATTGGTATGCATATATCACTACAGAATGCTGAGTTCATTTCTTTCAGATAAATAACAAGGAGTCACATAGCTGGGTCAAATGGTGGATCTATTCCCAGTCTTTTGATGAATTACCATACTCCCAAAGTGGTTGTACTAATTTGCAGTTCCACCAACAATACAAGTGTGAAACTTTTCCCACACATCCTTGTTAGCATTTATTATTATATGTATTCTTCATGACTGYCATTAAAACTGGTTAGAAGAAATCTCAGTGTAATTTTGATGTGCATTTTTTTCTTTCTAAGAAAAATTTAGATTCTGACATATTTTCCTATTGTGATACTTTCAGTTTATGGTTCTTATTGTGTTTTAATGGTTATGGATATGAATTCTGGAGCCAGATATCCTGGATTGATTTCCTGAACTGCATCATTATATCTCTGTAGGCAAATTACTTTTCTCTCTGTCCCTCAATTTTTCTTTATTGTGGGATTCTTGATATTAAAATACAATAATGAGAGCAAAGGACTTCATGATTGTGCTGAACAGTGAAGTGCATACCACTGAAAAGGTATTTGTAAGTTAAAAGAATGTGTAAGGACTCATTTTGATCATTAAGGGACACATATAAGAGACAGAAAAGAGATATGAATRTTGCAAATATCATTTACTCAGACACAAATGGCACACCTTTCCAAAGTAAACTTAAACAATATCAAGATCTATTGAATTATCTGAACAGAAGGCATGATTTTAGTCCACATATTTTTTGTTTGTTCTTTTGGAGTTCTCTCAGCTCCACACCTCACCACAGGCTGTCTTTTTGATGGCTAAATGGGATGCACTCTGACATATTTCACATCAATTCGTGTAAAGAGAGTAAGATGAATTTTGTGGTGTGTGTGTGTGTGTGTGTGTGTGTGTGTATGTCTTTTATTTTTTTAGTTGTTGATGAACACAATAACTTTATTTTATTTATTTCTTTGTAGGTGATGCTGAGGATTAAATACAATGACTCACATGATATAGGCAATCACTCAACCACAGAGCTACAGCCTCAGCCCCAGTGTGTGTCTCATTTAAAATAAAGAAAACTTAGCCAGGCATGGTGGCACACACCTATAATCACAGCCGCTCCGGAAGCTGAAGCAGGAGGACTGTGAGTTCAAAGCCAGCCTCAGCAAAGTGAGGCACTAAGCAACTCAGTGAGACCCTGTCTCTAAATAAAATACAAAATAGGACTGGGGATGTGGCTTAATGGTCGAGTACTCCAAAGTTCAATCCCTGGTAACCCCCCAAAATAAATAAATATATTAAAATAAAATTAAAAAAATTAAAACCCCCCATTTCCTAAAAACTTCCAGAGAAATCTTCTTTTTTGTATCATTGCCCCCAAGTAAGTCACATAGGGATTCATCAACAGATGTTGGGACTCAGTGTTGCTGAGTATTAGTGGTGGATGGTGCTGAAATACACAACAGAAACCATGGTACCATTAGAAAAGGTAAAGAAAATTGGGGGCTGGGGATGTGGCTCAAGCGGTAGCGCGCTCGCCTGGCATGCGTGCGACCCGGGTTCGATCCTCAGCACCACATACCAACAAAGATGTTGTGTCCGCCGAGAACTAAAAAAAAATAAATATTAAAAATTCTCTCTCTCTCTCTCTCTCTCTCTCTCTCCTCTCTCACTCTCTCTTTAAAAAAAAAGAAAATTAATGAACATAATTCTAACAATTGACAATGATCATTAAAGTACAATATCTACAATATCTCTTCAGTCCAGAGTGTCTCAACTCTTTTATTCTCTGGATTTTTTTTTGTGATCATAAAACATATTTCAGACTGTAAAACCTTTATTCATTTAAGTAATATCTGTTAGTGTTAACCAGATTAGAATCTAAATTAGACAAATTGCAAACATATTCACCATTCCAATTAAAAAACATTAGCCCATTACAAATAACATAATTACATTAAGAACATTTTAAAGAAAATACTTAATAAATGTCTACATATTTCAGGCACTCTTTAAGTACAGGTAATATACAATTAGATATGACATGGTTGATACACAAAGAAGGAAATAAGGATTCCTGAGAGAAAAAAAACTTGATTCAATTGATATGTTAAATAATTACAATCCTATATATGTAGGATATATAAAGCAAAGCCTATGAAAAACAAAATCCTCATGTATTTTACTAGGAATACCATTGGTTTTAAATACAGATTGATAAACCACCAAAATACACTTAATTTTAGAAACTTAGTAAAAATGACTGACATTAAAATTAAAATTTTCTTATGAAGATATTCTCTCTGCATACACATTCAAAGATAATCTGCTGAAAGATCTAAAATCATTTTAAAAATCAAATTCAAATATGCTTTCCTTCATAGAGACAATGTTGTACAAATAAGTATTARTATCTGAGTTTTTAGAATGTGCCTGAGTTATAGATTATGCTTTGGGATTCAAGAAATTTGCAAATAAAATATTAAATGATTATTATTATACATAATATTATTTCTAGTATTTTGGGGCTTATTAGAAATTGGAACTAATTTTATCTTTGTATTCAGTAATGATTTAATTAACATTTGATGGAATGTTTAAGAAAAGGTTATTATTAAATTAAAATAAATTGTCCAATGGAGGTAACATTTGTCTAAGAATGTTGTAATATCATATCTTCATAATTTTTGATAACATTTATTACTTCCTTATTTCTTAGACTATAAATGAAAGGGTTTAATAAAGGAATAACTAGAGTATAAAAAATAGCAACAGGTATATCTTTATCATCTTCATTAAATGAATTTGGCCTAATATACATGAAGAGCAGAGAACCATAGAATATTGACACAGAGAGAAAGTGGGATGCACAAGTAGATAAACCTTTTCCTCTTCCTTCTTTGGATTTCATTGTGAAGATAGTGAAAAGAATGTAGAAATAAGAGATTAGTACTACTGTAACAGAAAAAATTTGAACAAATCCTGACAAGATAAGTATCATCAATTCATTGATATAAGGGTCAACACAAGAGAGTCTGTATAATGGAAGGACATCACAAAAGAAGTGATTGATTTGATGAGACCTACAGAAAGTTAATCTCAAYAAAAGTCCTACTTGAACAATGGAATGCAGATGTCCAGCTATGTAGGCTCCTGTGGTCATCTGAATGCAGAGTGTCTTTGACATTAGAGTGTGGTATTGCAGTGGTCTGCATATGGCCACATAGCGGTCATAGGCCATTGCTGCKAGAAGAAAGCAGTCTGTAGTCTCAGCAAGACAGAGAAAATAGAATTGTGCCATGCATTCATAGAGGGAAATCCTTCTGTCCTCAGAAAAGAAGTTCTGTAACATCTTGGGAGTGATGGCACAGGAACAGCAGGAATCCATGAGAGCCAGGTTGCCCAGGAAGATGTACATTGGTGTKTGAAGACGGCGCTCCATGTATATCAAGGCCACCAACCCTAGATTCCCCACCATGGTGACCAGATAGATGCCAAAGAACACCACAAACAGAAGAGTCTTCATGTCTGGGTGGTCTGTAAACCCGATAAGGATAAATTCATTTGTCATTGAGTGGTTGTCCTCAGTCACCTCTAGCTTTTCTGTTGAGATAGGAATTATGTATATATGATGTTCCATTGGAAATTACATAATTTTCCATTGATATTTTTTCATTTATAATAGGTAGAGGAATTTCTTTTTTAAGCATTGCATGTGCTTGTGTGATTACAGCTACATTTACTTTTGAACAAATTCATTGGTGAATGTTTCAGCAAATGTGACATCAAAGTACGCCTCTCAATATTCACAAGACCATTTTGATAATTTGAGGGAAGATATTTAAAGTGAAAAAGATTCATCTGTATGCATTTATTCAATGATAACATTAAAATTTAGTGTAGCCATATTTGGATCATTGCCCACAAATAATTGTAGCATTATCTATCTATCTATCAAKCAAACTATCTACTTATCTATTTATTTTTAATTGTAGATGAATAAAATATCCTTATTTATTTATTTTTAATCATGCTGAGGATTGAACCCAGTGCCTCACACATGTGAGGCAAGTGCTCTATTACTATGCTACAGCCCCAGTCCTATGTCATTGATTTTTATGATTCCTATAATATTTTTAAATTCTATTTTCCTTTAAATATTAATTTATTCTACTGAGGAATTATATTTTTATATTCTTTTAGAGGATTACATATTTTAAAAAAGCAAATTACAGTTATGTTAAATTTATATCATTTAAATTGTACAGAATTCATGAAGGATTGTAGAGGGCAGTATTCACTATTAAAATAAATTACTTTGGAACATTGAAGAAATAAATGTCCACATATTTTCATTCATTTTCTCTTTTATGGGTCACACTTATTTTCAAAAGCACTGACTGTTTATTCCATTTATTATTATAAGTTTTTTCCACATATCTAAATTTGCTTTATTATAAGGCATCATTTACATATGATACTTTTTAATGACATTTTAACTGACTGTTCTAGGATACACTGTTCTCCTTTTCTGAATTTTAGAGCATGTCTTCTATGTCTTTTACACCCAACCCAATCTATAATTTCTCATGTATAATCTACAATGCTTTATTTTTTCAAACATATCTGACAGTTTTTCTAACTACTATATAAGCATTTTGAGGTTATTYGTTACATATTTTTGTAAAAGGAGCTAAAAATGCTATGGGAAGAAAGAATTTATTTCAATTGTAGCTCACTCTATGAATGAAATCATTACCTATTAATAATTCTTAATTATTAATGCCCTCTTTTTTTTGAAGTAGAATTTTTTGAAGAAGAATATTTTTGAAGAAGAATTTTTAGAAAAAATTTCAACATTGTCGTCTTAAAAAATTTATATGTCTTTATTTCATCTAAATTGACTATTTTGTAGTATTTGGCAGTTTGCTAAAAAAATTATAAGATTCTCTAAAGTATACCACAATAGATTAAAAAAAAGTTTTTGGTTCACTTGTATCCTTCAGATTTAAACACTTAGAAAAAGAGAAAACCCTTTAGATCCTAGTAGAATTTTGAAATTCAAATTTTGTTTTGCTTTAAGAGAGTATTTATTCTTATTACTTAGGGGTCCATTGGGACCYACCAATCAACAAATTTTGTCTTATAAATTCTACTGTACAAATGTTTTTGCACTTTCTTAATCAAAACATCAAGAGGAAGGCAATAAAAATGTCTTTGTTATAAAATTCTGAATTTAATCCATGCAATTAGTTGAGAGAGAAGTAACTTTCAAGGTCATGCTTAATTATCTAAATGAACTTTTTGTGATCTTAACTTTATATTTTAAAGTTTGATCTCATAAGAAAGTCAGAGTAATTACTGTTTTGTACCTCATCCCAGCATGATATACTTTTAAATTTTAAGAAGAGTTAGAAGGATAAGAATTGAGTGAAAATTTAGGAGCAATTAACAAAGGGAAATAAATATTTATGGTCGCAAAATTACAAGTATAATATGTTACAATAATTCTCTTACCTAAATTTATCTGAGAATATCCCTTTGAAGTGTTTTCTTTTCTTTATGGTAAGGGTTTCAGGACTTAAAATATATATTTACMTTGCTTTCTAAAGTATTTGGGATCAAGACAATTAAAAAAACAGAGACTACTTTCAAGTCAATGCTAATAATTATGCTTCTTACACTGTCCAGTTGAAGTTTTCCATCATATTCTGAAGGGATCATCCAGCACTGACATCATGTTTTTCCCTGGAGYTTCTGAGTCCTAAAAACAAATAAACCATTTGAAATTAATTAGAAATGTCCTATGAGACAATGTAGTGAAAGTAAATGCCCTTCACTAAAGTATGTTTGATGATCATCTTACTGATTTGAATAGATTTGACATAACTTTTATAATTCTCCTCACAATTCTTTGCATACAATATAAAACTACCTGCAATACAAAAATGTATCCTGATTACTGCCCATTTCCTCATCTTCTCCTTATTTAGAGAAGATGTCTAGTTCTTTTCTTCCCTTCATCTTCCTACTGAGCCTCTATTACCATTGTGTAGGTGTTTCTGAACTGTTGTTGGGTCTTTCTGGCTTAACACTTAATCCTATTATTCATCACTCTAAACTGCTGCTGAAGCTCTGAAGCATGTGACATCAAAGAACTTCCAGGGAGGATGAAGTGTGATGACTACAACTGGCCACATCAAACCCAAAGTATTTAATAGAAATAGTCCAAATTCTCTTTAGTAAATAAGCAACCCGCTGCCTCCCAAACACTGATTCACGTTGACTTTCAAACTCAAGAACAGGGGTGAATCAAGCCAGCCTGTCTCTGTCTCAACATGTCCTTGTGACAGTGGTATAAAAACAGTAGAATGGCAATATTTACTGGTTCTTTACGAATTTCCATTTTGCAAAATGGAAATTTTTATTATAAAATTTAATTTTAGGCACAGTATTTCAAAGGAACACTGAGTATAGAGAAGATATGCAAGGCATAAATATRTAACATGACAATTAAAATAAGCCGGGCATGGGTGGTGCATGCCTGTAATCCCAGTGGCTCAAGAAACTGAGACAGGAGGATGTAAATTCAAATACAGTCTCAGCAATGGTGAGGTGCTAAGCAACTCAGTGAGACCCTGTTTTTAAATAAAATACAAAATAGGGCTGGGGATGTGGCTCAGTGGTTGAGTGGCTCTTAGTTGAATTCCTGGTACTTGCCCCCCGCCAAAAAAAAATTAAAATAAAACATGAAATATAAATTCTTGATGGCTGCTTAAAAACAATTATGATTAGTAGTGTAATTATATCTTTATAGAATTATTTCTTATTTTCCTTTAAAAAATAAGAATCTCATTGAAAAATATTTTAACTTT